GTAGCCCAGGCTGGGCCAGTCCTCTTGTCTCCATCTTCTCTGTGTAGGGATTATGCGGATGTGCCATCACACCTGGCATCCAACAACGTTTGAAAAAAGCTGGTTAACTTGAGAGCAGAGGGAATCGAAAAACTGCCTAAAACCGAGTATAAAGAACAAAATAGGGGCCGGGCGGCGGTGGTGCAAATCTTGGGAGGCAGAGGCAGGGGGATCTCTGTGAGTTCGAGGCCAGCCTGGTCTCAGAGCGAGTTCCAGGACAGCCAGAGCTACACAGAGAAACCCAGTGTGGGAAGAGAGAGAGAGAGAGAGAGAGAGAGAGAGAGAGAGAGAGAAAACTACGTGGAGCGGTAGGCACGTGACTCTCCCCCAAATCTTCTTTCACACCTTCACGCCGCCCTGACCACAATGGTCCACAGCTTGGTGCTTAACGTGGCGGCGGCGCGGCTGGTGCGTCCAGCGCCTCCCTCTGAACACTGCTCCAGACGGGGAGGGCACGGCGGGAGCCTCCTCGCGAAGGGGCGTGGCCTCCTGGGGGTGTGTCCCGGGAAGGGGCGGAGCATTCATGAGGGGAAGGCAGAGGAGCCCGGGCTTCTGGCGCTCCGCGAGGGGGCGGAGCCTCTTCCCGCGGGGGCTCCTGGGAGGGCTCCGAGTATCGTGAGGCGAGAGGGCCGAGGAGCCGGGGCCGCCTGCCCTTCCTGAGGGGGCTGAGGAGCCGCCTCCCGCGGGGGCTCCTGGGAGGACCCGTGAGGGGCGGGCCGAGGCGCCGGGGCCGCCTGCCATTCATGAGGGGGCGGAGCCTCCTCCCGCGGGGGCTCCTGGGAGAATTCGAAACTCGACCTGAGGCGCGGGGGGCGCCCGAGAGCCGAGGACGCCGCTCCGGAGCGGGGCGGAGCGGAGCGGAGCCGGCGGCTGCCCTCGTCTCTGGCGGGAAAAGCCTGAGGCGATTTCCTCCCTTTTTTAAGTGTTGTGGAGTCTGAGGATGGGAGGTCGAGACGACTAAGTCCCACTGCCCTGTGACACTGTAGCCGGGGAACTGTCGAAGTCTGTGGTAAAAGGTGTCTTCTCCCCCCGCCCCGCCCCGTCCCGTCTTGTGGAAGCAATGCCGCGGTGCCCGGCGCCTCCGGCGTGGTTTCCGTGTCGCCCCGTTTCTTCCCGGGGACCCCCGGGACCCCATCTGTAGGGACGTCCAGGGCTGGCGTCGGGACGTTACGCCGCGTCCCGCTGCTTTGCCGGTGTCTTCTCCCCTCCTCCGGAAGGGGACGGCGGGGCAGGGACGGACGGCGTCCAGGCCCTGGACCCTCCCACCGCGGTGGCGGGGGACGCGCTGGCCCCGTCCCCCAGCTCGCTCGGAAGCTGAGGGGGGCCGGAGGTCCCCGAGTTCGACGCCCGCGGCCCCTAAGGGAAACCCTAGCTCACTGTCATGTGGGTTTGGGAGCGGAGAGGGAACCGGGAAGGGTTTGGTGGGCAGCGTTGGCATCTTCAGAAAAGCCTGCCCTCCGCCCCCTCGAAACTAGGTCCGGGGGAGGAAAATGCGAGATTGAAGGTTTGGGGTTTTTTTTTTTGTTTTGTTTTTCGAGAAAGTATTTCTCTGTGTAGCCCTGGCTGCCCTGAGACTCACTGTGTAGACCAGGCTGGCCTCGAACTCGGAGATCCGCCTGCCTCTGCCTCCTGAGTGCTGGGATGAAAGATGTGTGCCACCACTGCCTTGTTGAGACTTAAGTTTTGAAGTCACTAAGTTATTTTTAGTCCTTCAGAGATTTAAATTAAAATTTATATATACACGTATGTCTACACCCTTAGTGGATGATAAAGACCCCTGGAAGGAGGTGGTCAATGAGTGTTTGAAGGGTCCACAAACCCCACCCTAGCCTTCTACTAGGGTAGAAGTTCCTGGAAGAAGAGGCACAAATCAGAAACTAGGTCAAATTTATATTTTACTATAGTGAAAATACTTTAAAATTCTGTTAAAAGTTAACAATTAATCTGGGCAGTGGTGGAGCACAGGTCTTTCATCCCAGCACTCAGGAAGCAGAGGCAGGCAGATCGCTGTTTGAGGCTGGTCTGGTCTACAGAGTAAAATCGAGGTAAGCTGGGGCTACCTAGAGAAACTCTGTCTCGGAAAAGCAAAATAAACCAAAAAAGTTAAATTTAAAAACAGCTTTGTTGATTAATTCAGTCAGAATTTTTCCCCTTGGAATTTCATGAAGATGCTAAAATACATATTCTTGTAGAAAAACATGTATTGGCATATAATTAAATTGTAATAAGATTACAATATAGTATGAATACTTACCTTTAAAAAAATAAATACATAAATTATTAAATTTTCATTTTCACAATAACATAAACACCAAATGCAATCTTTCATTTAGCTATATTTTATAAACATTGGACATACTGTGTGACTTTAGTTATTATTTCTATAATTACTAATTTAAAATTTCACTGAATGTGAAGCAAAATATAGTTATAGTCCTTTTGTTGTTCTGTTTTTTTGAGACAAGGTTTCTCTTCGAAGCTCTGGCTGGCTCTGTAGACCAGGCTGGCCTCAAACTCAGAGATACTCCTCTGCCTCTGCCTCCCAAGTGCTGGGATTAAAAGAGTGTGCAACCACTGCCCGATTTGCTGTTCTAGTCTTAATGGAAATTCAGATAATGTTTTTAACTGAGAAGTGAAGTTCTTTGTCATGTTTTCAAGTGTGTAACTAATTTTGACTTGATGTAAACTGAGATTTAACATTACAAGATAGTAAGTATGGGTGTGGTTCTTAGTTCTTTTTCTATAGAAGGGAGAAACTATATTTTGCTCAATATGGTGACTCTTTGACGGAATGTCTCAGTTGTTGTTCCAGGCTCCTTCAGAGAACTTAAGTTGGAGTTATACACATATTTACCAAACAATTTTCTAACTAGAACAATGGAATGACACAAAAGCACTGTATGATGTTTACTTTGCCTTTAAAGTGTTATTGTTTTGTGTAAGCAAATAATCAGTGATTTTAATACCATATTTAACAAATTCCCTTTAAGAAAGGACTGTAAAATAAAATTGCATATGCCTTTCCTAAGACTTATTTGTAACTGTTACTAACAAAAACTGGAAAGGAGGGAAATGTTTTATTCACCTCCTATGTAACCTTATAACTTTAAGCAAGATGCAGTAGTAACATACCTTTTATCCCAGTACTGGGAAGACTGAAGCAGGAATATATCAAGTTTGAGACCAGCCACAGCGATAAACTCTATTCCCAAATCTCCTTAAAAAATAATTGATTTGAGCCGGGCGGTGGCACTCACCTTTAATCCCAGCACTCAGGAGGCAGAGACAGGTGGATCTCTGTGAGGTCAAGGCCAGCCTGATCTACTCAGAGGGTTACAGGACAGCCAGTGCTAAGAGAGAAAGAGACCCTCTCTGAAAAAAAATAATAAATGAAATATTCTGATGATAGATGTTGCATTATAGGACTTTGTTTGTTGTTTTAATTTTGTAAGGCTGAGATTAAACCCAGGGGCTGAAACACTCGGTGATTACTCTGTCAGTGAGCTGCACTCCATCCCTCATAGGTATTGAGTATATTTTATGCTGTAATGTATTTTGTGTCAGTTTTTTTTCTCTTTCCTCCCCCACCATGTTCCTTCATAGTTATCAATATTCATATTGGACAGTGAATTCAGGTTGCAAAAGGATTTATTTTATATTAGTCTATAAGTCTGCCCACAAGTTAAACTATATTAAATCTTTTACCACTTTGCTATTTTGCTTTTTTCTTTTCTTAGAATATGTTTCAGCCAACTACATGTTTCATTTCTTTCTTTTTTTGTTTGTTTTTCACACAGGGTTTCAACAACCCTGCCTGGCCTTGAACTTGTGATCCTTTAGCTTTCACCTCTGGAATTACAAACATGTGCCCCCATGTTTGTAAAAAAAATGCTTATTTTCTTACTAAAAGTCTTATTCTACCTAAAAATAGATAGGATGCTAAAAGGTGTTAAGGATTTAACAAGTTTTTCAAATAATGCTGAGATGGATAAGTAGACTCCTGATGGGTGTACCATAATTACACATCATAGTAAATATTTTGTAATGTGGAAAGACAGGTGTTGCCCATCAAAGTGTGCACCTTAGGCTGGGACTGTACCTCACTTGGTGGAGTGTCTATCTGGCATGCCTGAGGCTCAGGGTTTGATCAGCAACACAAGAAGGAAGAAGAACAGAAAGTGTGACTCCTAACTTAAAAAGAAACAACTTCATTGCCTTAATTTTTTTCTTTGTGTCTTGTGCTTTATTTTTCTAACCAGGATAAATCCATGGGATAAGAAAAGATGGCGTCCAGAGTAAATACCAGTTTCACTTTGATACCCAACCAGAAATGTAAACAACGTACTAACCATCAACCCAGCTATTTTTGCAACACCCCAGATTTAGATCCTCAATTCTTATCTACGCTTGGAAATTTTAAGGTCTTACCATTGGAAATATTCCACATAATTTTAAGATATTTGTCAGGTGAGGTTTGGGGGATAGAAGTATGTTATTTAAGATATTAGAATATTATAATTTTCCCCAAGTATTAGTTTGTTCTCTTTATTCAGCTATGTTAGTGCCATTCAGGAATGTTGATAACATTCATAAAGAGTTTATTTTCACTGGGTGGTGGTGGCACACGCCTTTAATCCCAGCACTCGGGAGGCAGAGCCAGGTGGATCTCTGTGAGTTTGAGGCCAGCCTGGGCTACCAAGTGAGCTCCAGGAAAGGCGCAAAGCTACACAGAGAAACCCTGTCTCAAAAAAACAAAAAAACAAAAAAAAAAAAAAGAGTTTATTTTCTTCTTTTTTTTTTAAAAAAAATAATTTATTTAACTTTATTTTTTGTGCATTGAGAGTGTCAGGTCCCCTGGAATTGGAGTTATAGACAGTTGTGAGCTGCCATGTGGGTGCTGGGAATTGAACCCAGGTTCTCTGGAAGAGCAGCCAGTGCTCTTAACCTCTGAGCCATTTCTCCAGCCCGAGTTTATTTTCTGAGGGTCCACCAACCACTTCTCTGTGTTTTAGCTAAGATTGAGTGTAAAGTTCCATTCTTGCTCCCTCTTCTCTGTCTCTTTTTCCAACAGAAAAGTTTACTTATGAGACTATAAAAGTCAGCTGGCTTGGCATTACCATGAAGACTGCCCACAATAATGTTCAAATTTTGTAAAGAAATTGTAGGCAGGATACAGCACGCACCTATAATTTCAGCACCAAGGATGCTAAGGCAAGATCACAAATATCAGGCCAGCCTGGGCTACATAACAAGATCCTGTCAAAAAAAACAAAAACAAACAAAGAAAAACTTTACTGGGCATGGTGGTATATGCCTTAAATCCCAGCACTTGCGAGGCAAAAGCAAGAGTATCTCTTTGACTGCCAGGCCATCCTGGTCTACATAGCAAGCTTCAGAACAGACAAGACTGCATAGAGTGATCCAGCCTCAAAAAAAAAAAAAAAAAATCAACAGCCAGCAGGTAGTGCACACACCTTTAAATGAAGCACTTAAAGGCAGAGGCAAGCCTGGTATACAGAGTGAGTTCCAGGGCTACACAGAGAGACCCTGTTTCAAGAAAAGACAACAAAACAACAACAAAATCCACCAAAACCCAGAACAACTACTACCACCTCTAAAGTATCTGAATAGTAATAATATGGTAGCTTGATTGTTATTTCCCACCATGTTTCTATTGAGAACTAGATTTAAGACAGAATTAAGATCTTTTTAAGCACTAGGTTTGTTTATTTTTGTTTTTTTGAAACAGGCTTTCACTCATAGCCCAGGCTGTCCTAGAACTTACTCTATAACACCTGGTTATTTGCCTCCCTCAGCCTCCCAAGTGCTGAACCTACAGCTGTGAGTCAACACATCTGACACTAGGTTTAATTTGTAAGTTAATAAACTGTACTAATGGTGATGATTTTATATTTAAGTCATTTGTATTATTAGTGAGTTAACATAAGCTAATAGAGTATACTATCAGTGGTTATAATCATGTGTACCCATATTTTATGTAAGTTTATTTCTTTTTTTGTTTTGGTCTTGTTTTAAATTTACTTATTTTTTTGATAGTGAAGGATATTGGCATGTTAAGCATGGTATCCAAAACAGTCAGCCAGCACATAATTAATTATATCTCAACCTCATCCGGAAGTAGAAGACTTTTAATACAGAACTTTCATAACCTTGATCTGTCTGGCACAAAAGAAGAGACTCGTCTACTAGATCACTACAGAGCTCTAGGTAATTTATGAAATGCAAACTGCAACAAGAAATACCCTACCTATATTTTGTTATAATTCTGTAAGGCTAGTGACTTGTAGATATTTCCTGGAGATTTTCTTTTTCTTTTCTTTTTTTTCTTTTTTGAGACAGGGTTTCTCTGTGTAGCTTTGTGCCTTTCCTGGAACTCCCTTTGGAGACCAGGCTGGCCTTGAACTCACAGAGATCCGCCTGCCTCTGGCTCCCGGTTGGGATTAAAGGCGTTCTCCTCCTCCACCACCACCACCACCACCACCACCACCACCACCACCACCACCACCACCACCACCACCACCACCACCACCACCGCTCGGCTGAGATTTTCTTTTTTCTATGGTATTTTTATTTTCAATGCTCGGCTGAGATTTTCTTTTTTTCTATGGTATTTTTATTTTCAATGTCAAGATCTTAACAGTAGTCCTACATACTTTAAAGATGAAAGCTGAACACAGTGGCTCACGCTTGCAGTCCTAGCATTTGAAAACCAAAACCAGAGAATCATAATTTGAGCCCAGCCTGTACCTCATAGTGAGTTCCTGAGTTCTAGGTCAGCCTGGACAAAGGTGTGACTCTGCACCAAAAAACTTTATAGGACTGAGGATGTGGCTTAGTTGGGCCAGTGCTTGCCCAGCATTCATGAATCCCTGGGTTTCATCCCTAGCACCAAATGAACTGGGTGTTTGTGGCACTTGCCTGTAATCTCAGTACTCAAGAAGTGGAAGCAAGAGGATCAGAAGTTCAAGTTCATAGTGAGTTTATAGTCACCTTCATGAAACCTCTTCCTGGGTAGAAGGGGCAGATACTTATATACCTTTCTTAACCAGCCATCACTTCCTGGGATTGAAGGTGTGTGTGTGTGTGTGTGTGTGTGTGTGTGTGTGTGTGTGTGTGTGTGTGTGTGTGTGTGTGTGTGTATGCGCGCGCGCGCGCTTCCCAGTACTGGGATTAAAGGTGTGTCTGTTTCTCTCCTAGACTGAATTAATCTCATGTAGTTCAATGTAGCTTTGAACTCACAGAGATCCAGACAGATCCCTGCCTCCCGAGGGCTAGGATTAAAGGTGTGTGCCATCACTGCCTGGCTTTTATGTTTAATCTATTGGCTGGCTCTGTCCTCTGATCCTCAGGCAAGCTTTATTTGATGTTCCAGTCTTAGATGGTCTTTTAATAAAAAACTCAGACCAGTATCAGGGTGAAAGCTGAAAGATCAGAGAAGCAGAACAGCCAGCCACTAGTTCTTACCTCCACAAAATCCTCAGTCTAAAGAGAGTGAGTTCCTGTTTCCTCATGCCTTATATACCTTTCTCTGCCCTGCCATATTACTTGCTGGGATTAAACTCACAGTGTGCTTCCCTAGCAAAGGCATGAGATCTCAATTGCTGGGATTAAAGGTGTGTACCACCACCTGACCTCTATGTTTAATCTAGTGGCTGGCTTTGTCCTCTGATCATCAGGCAAGTTTATTAGGATACAAAATATATCACCACAATTTGATACACAATATATCACCACAAGTGGTGGCTCATGACTTTGATCCTAATACTTGGGAGACAGAGGCAGGTGGATCTCTGAGTTTGAGGCCAGCCTGGTCTACAGAGTGAGTTCCAGGACAGCCAGGGCTACACAGAGAAACCCTGTCTCGAAAAACAAAACAAAACCAAAAAAAAAGTATAAATTTAGACACATTACTGGAAAATCATTATTCTCTTATCAAAATCTGTGATCTTCTTTTTTAAGTACTCTACATATTTACTAATAAGTCATTATATTATACTGTAATTAAATTCACCTTATCAAAGGAAATACTATATCATTTTACTTCTCTTGATATGAAATAATTTGTATCTTTTACTCCATTCATTGATTTCATTTTCCCTAGAGTGCTGAAATAAAATTCTAATTTCAGTTTGACTAATGAAACCAATTTAACTATGAAACTAAAATATAATTAACCAAAACATGGCAATAAAACCAAATATCAGGATGTTATTGGGATTTAAATAAAGATATGATAGTAAGTTGAGTGAATCTTGTCTTTTAGAAACACAAGAATGCCTAGCTTTAAAAAAAGAGGAGTAATATGTAAATTCCTCAATAACGGCCTGTGGTTTAGGCCTGTAGTAACAGTTACTTGGGGGGCTAAAGCAAGAGGACTGTGAATTCAAGGTCTGCCTGTACTATGGAGTTCAAAGCCAACATGAGCCATTTAGAGAGACTCAATGGCAGAGCATGCCCTAGCATGCATGAAGTGAGGACCTAAATTCAGTCTACAATGCACAAAAAAAGAAAAAGAAAGGAGAGAAGAAAAGAAGGAAAGAAAATAGTCTGGGGCTGGAGAGATGGTTCAGAGGTTTAGAGCACTAGCTGTTCTGGGTGACCTGGGTTCAGTTCCCAGCACCCACATGGCAGCTCACAACTGTCTGTAACTCCAGTTCCAGGGGATCCAGCACCCTCTTCTGACTGCCTCAGGTATATATATACACACACACATGCAGGGAAAACATATAGACAAATAAATAAGTCTTTTTTTTTTTTTTTAAATGAAGACGGTGTTGTTGGTTTCAGTGTTTTTAAGTAGATTTGATAAATCCTGGAACGAATGAGGCAAGTATTAGATGATTGTCTTTTGGGTTCAGTCCAAAGGAATTTTTATTTTCCTGATCAAATCTTAGCTGCTTAAGCAAACCCAATGACATTGTCTGGGAATTGAATTCAGTGGTAGAGTACTTGCCTACCTACTGGCCCAAGCTTATTAATCACAACACTGTGGAAGTGAAGGCCATAGAATGAGAAATTCAAGGCCAGTTTCAGCTACATAGTATGAGACCAGCCTTGGCTACCTGAGATGGTCTCAAACAAATAAATAAAAAAGGCCCTAGGTTCCATCTTCAGCACCACATTAAAAACAAAAAACAATAATTATATGGGTAATTCAGTTAAAAATATATAAAGGTTGATCTTAACACCTAATCTTCAAAAAATGTCTGATTAATATATTAGCTTTAATTTTCCATTCAGTTTTTTGTAGATACATGCTTTGTGATTGGTTCATTTGGTAAATGTTTGACACACTCAACATTTTCCCATGCTTTCCTTCCTATCTGATCTGTTCCTGTTTTTAGATATTAAAATAACATTTTTCAGAATCTTAACTTTGAAGATTATAAATTTAATTTGCATTTCATACTGAACAGAACAGATGGCCAGTGTAGAAAGAATACTGCATCTGACATTATTTTCCTGGGAGAACTTAAAAGAAATTGGTCTCTGAAAAAGAGTACCTGTGTTTAGAAAAAAAAGTCAGCTAAACAGGAGGGTTTTATGGTAAACTGCAACCCTTAAAAATAGGAGATTTCGGCCGGGCGTTGGTGGCGCACGCTTTTAATCCCAGCACTCGGGAGGCAGAGCCAGGCGGATCTCTGTGAGTTTGAGGCCAGCCTGGGCTACCAAGTGAGCTCTAGGAAAGGCGCAAAGCTACACAGAGAAACCCTGTCTCGAAAAACCAAAAAAAAAAAAAAAAAATAGGAGATTTCCAGTAAAAAAGGCAATTCTAGCTTGCAGTCCCAGCTATGATATAACATGAGACACAATGCCAAAACATGAAAGGAAAAGAACTCAGACTAAAGCCAAACTCTGAAAATAACTTCCTATAAGAAAAATAAGGAGGGTTTATGTTTAAAATTCAATTCTGGTCATGTGTTACCCAAACATAGCAACTTCTAAAAATAAGCTTGATTCCTATAGATCTTTAGGGTTATATAATCATTTTATTATGTAAAGAGTAAATGTAGAGAAGTGGTGATTATATTATATAAAGAGTAAAAACTGGAGAAAGTGGTGATATTCAAGTGTATCTTTCCCTACCACACACACCATTTTTAGTGAATGCCATTTGTCCTTACAGGAATGTTAACAATGTATTGCCATTTTAGGAAAGCAGAATACTTAGGGGAAATAAATCATACACTTCCTCCAGTATAGTTCAAATAACATCTTACTGAGAAATTGGAAGGTTGTTTTTTTTCCCAATGTCATGACACAGAATCCTACACTTTAACATACACGCTCTGTAAACTATCTTAGAGGAGAGATAGTTCAGTGGCTAGGAGTGAGTACTTGCTGTCTTGCAGAGGACTAGGGGGTTTGGTTTCCAGAACCTACATGGTGGTTCACAACTGTCTATAACTCTAGTTCCAGGTGATCCAATGCCCTGTGCACATAACACATGCTGGTGAAACATTCATACACATAAAAGTTAAATAAAGCCAAGTGTGGTGGTGCATACCTTTAATCCCAGCACTCAGATGCAAAGGCAGGCAAATCTCTATGAGTTCAAGGCTAACCTGATCTACATAGCTAGTTCCAGGAGACAAGGTTACATAGAGAAACTCTCTCAAAAAAAAAAAAAAGAAAAAAGAAAAAAAAAAAAAGAAAAGAAAAGAAAAAATAGTGTAAGTCTTTTGCTATAGGATGTCTTTCTGTATGCTGTGAATATGTGTTTCTCCCATTGGCTAATAAAGCTGTTTTGGCCTGTGACAAGCAAGTTTACAGCCAGGTAAATTATTGCTAAAGAGATAGAGAGAGAAGGATGGAGACAGGAAAGACATGGTCCAGCCACTAAGGAAGGAAGATGTGAAAGTACCAGTAAGCCATGGATCCACGTGGCAAGCCATAGATAAATAGAAATGGGTTGAATTAAGTTTAAAGAGCTAGTTAATATAAGCTGGAGCCATAGGCCATACAATTGATAATTAATATAAGCCTCTGAATGATTATTTTATAAGACACTGGGACCTCAGGGCCAGGCAGGACACAGGAAAACTTCCAGCTACAGTCTTTGGAGAGAGACAGATATTTAATCCAATATGTGAGCAAATTTATAAATATATATATATATATATATAATTTATGTGAGCAGAACTGACTTCTAACCTCTGAAATTTTAAATACTTAATGACATTTTTAAAAAAAAAAATTTTTTTTTTTGAGACAGAGTCCCTATATAGCCCTAGCTGGCCTGGAACTCAGTATGTAGACCAGGCTGTCCTCAAACACAGAGATCCACCTGCCCTTGCCTCCCAAGTCAAGATCCTTTGATTCTGGGATCAAAGGCATGCATCACTACTCCTGGATGACTTTTTCTTTTCATTATTATTTTGTGTGTGTATGGGTGTTTCTGCCAGAATATGTGGCTGTGTACCACATGCATGAAGTGCTCTTAGAGACCTAAAGAGGGCATCATATCCACTGGAACTGGAGTTACAATTTGTGAGCTGCCATGTGGGTGCTAAGGATTGAATCCTGGTCCTCTGGAAAAATAGCCAGTACTCTTAACCACTGAGCCATCACTCCAGTCCCATGACTTTAAATTTTTATTTTTTTATTATTTTTCCCCCTCTTTTGGTTTTTCAAAACAGAGTTTTTCTGTGTAGCCTTGGCTGTCCTGAAACTAGCTCTATAGACTAGGCTGGCCTTGAACTCAGAGATCTGTTTGCCTCTGCCTCTCTCCCAAGTACTGGGATTAAAGGTGTGTGTCACCACCACCCAGCTAAAAATTTTTTATTTGGATAAAAAAGTACAAAATCTCCCTATTCTTCCTATATTTTACACAATTTTTATAATGTTTTCCTTTGTTGGTATAAGGTTAATCCCAAGAGATACTAGAATATATTTCCTGCAGAATAAAGTTTGCCTAGTATATCTTTTTGCCTTATTATTGTATCTTTTTAAATCAAATAGTCTGATATGTGGCTTATATTATCTATATCACAAGTTTTTGGCTCTTGCCAAAGCTAGATGGACATCAACACCACTTAGTGATTGTCATGCACTATATTACTTTTAATTCTTCCTCCAAAATATTTGTGTAAAAACTAGATCATAGTCCACAGTGATATAGCATACTTAATTTTAAGGGAATATTGTATTATGCTGTTGTGGAATATTACTTTAACTATGTAAAAATGTGTTGCATTTGTTTATGCTGCATTTGTTTAAATGTGTAAAGATATATTGCTGTTTCACCTTGCCTGCCTAAGGCACCTGATTGGTCTAATAAAAATCTGAATAGCCAATAGCCAGGCAGTAGAGGGATAGGTGGGGCTAACAGGCAGAGAAAATAATAGGAGGAATCTAAAGGTGAGTGAGGGGAGAGAGAGAACACAGGCAGAAAGAGAGGGAGATGCCCAGGGCCAGCCCAGCAGCTACCAGCCAGACATGGAAGACGCAGGAAAGTAGGACATACAGAATAAAAGAAAGGTAAAATCCCCGAGGCAAAATGTAGATGAAAAGAAACGAGTTAAAATAGGTTATAAGAGCTAGTGGGACAAGCATAAGATAAGGTCAAGCGTTCATAACTAATAATGTCTCCATGTCATGATTTTGCGGCTGGTGGTCCAAGAACGCCTGCTATGCTATGCTGCTGATAAGTTTATTTAATTTCATTGTCATTTTATGTCTCTTTCCTTTCTCAGGTCTACTGTTTAAAAGATGCACCTTGCTGCTTCCCACCAAGGACAGACTAAAGTACATTCACAAGATCCTCTCAGAAGTAAGATCATATGCCAGAATTAGTTCATGTTCTTGATTCCCAGTGAAGATAATTTATCACTAATGTCATATAGTCTTCATAAGCCTATCTTTTAAATTTTCTATATGTATGAATGTTTTGCCTGTATGTATGCATATGCATCATGTGTGTGCCTGGTGCCCATGGAAGCCAAAAGAAGGCATCATATCCCCTGACACTGGATCTACAGGCAATTGTGAGTCGATACTGGGAGTCAGACATGGATCCTCTGCAAGAAAAGCAAGTATCTCTCCAGCCCCAAATTTATCTTTTAAAAACAGGATTGATTTTTATTTTTTTTAACTATGTGTATGTGTGTGTTTCTGTTTATGGGTACCCATGGAAGACAAAAAAAGAGATTAGATTTATAATTTAAAGCTTATCATCATTATATGCATTTAGGAAAAACATATGAAGAGATGGCTCAGTGGTTAAGAGTGCATAATATTCTTGCAGAGGACCCAGCTTTGATTCCCAGTACCTTAGTGGTGTTTGGTGTAACTCCACCTGTAGGTGATCAAACACCTTTGGTCTCTGCAGGCACCCACACATACCTGCATACATACAGATCATTCAAAATAATATATATTCAAAAATAAAGCTGGGCAGTGGTGGCACACGTCTTGGGAGGCAGAGGCAGGTGGATCTCTGAGTTCCAGGCCAGCCTGGTCTACAAAGCAAGTTCCAGGACAGCCAGGACTACACAGAGAAACCCTGTCTCAAAAAACCAAAATAAATAAATTACAATATATTTTATACCATACAAGAATAATAAGGCAGTTAGTAGTTTTTTGTAATATTTATTTTTATTTGTGGCAGGGCATGTATACCATGGTGCACACCTCTTTTTCCTTTTTTTGAAGGGTTTTTTGTTTGTTTGTTTGTTTTTTGTTTTTTGAGACAGGATTTCTCTGTGTAGCAGTTCTGGCTGTCCTGGACCTTGCTTTGCAGACCAGGCTGGCCTCGAACTCACAGAGATCCTCCTGCCTCTGCCTCCAGAGTGCTGGGATTAAAGTCATGAGCCACCACCACCCGGTTGGCAGTCCTCTTTTTCACATGGGTACCAGGATTGAATTCAGTCCTCACGTTTGTGACACAAGCACTTTAGCTGCTGAGCCATTGCTCTCACAGCTGCCAAAGTTGTTTAAAACTTAAAGGCTGGGTGGTGGTGGTGTATGCCAGAGTCAGGTGGGTCTCTGAGAGTGAGTTCGAGGCCAGCCTGGTCTATAGAGCAAATTCTAGGACAGCTACGGCTGCACAGAGAAACCCTGTCTCAAAAACAAGCAACAACATAAAAGTGGTGACTTAGGGGCTGGGGCTGCAGCTCAGTTGATAGATTGTCTGCTTATGATTTGTTCCCTAGCACCTCTTAAACTCAGCACAGGGGCACAGGCCTGTAATCCAAGCACTAGGGAAACTGAGGCAGAAGCATCAGAAATTCAAGGTCATGCTCCTCAGCTACATAGTGAGTTCCAGATCATCTTGAGATAGGTGGCCCTGCCTCAAAAAAGCAAAAACAAAAAGCTGGATGTGGTGGCACAGACCTGCAGTCCCAGCAATCAGGAGGCAGAGGCTGAGGATCAGGAAATCAAGGTCATCTCTGCTGTATAACCAGTTCAAGACCTTGTCTCAAAAATAAAACAAACGGGCGGTGGTGGCACAAGCCTTTAATCCCAGCACTTGGGAGGCAGAGGCAGGCAGATCTCTGTGAGTTCGAGGCCAGCCTGGTCTCCAAAGAGAGTTCCAGGAAAGGTGCAA